AGAGGTGACCACAAAGAATGTTTACAACTCGCTGCTGGAACTGGTGAACATCTGTGGCGAACTGAAGGAGAGGTGGGCTAAACGAGAGTGGCTGCCGGATGGGCGACTCACTAATTGGACACAGAGGAGATGGAAYRAACAATGCAACATTATGGSTGCMTTGCSRGATCAGAAGCAGGCGGGCCTGCTATGGCAGATCTACCACCTGGCAATCCYGACTGCGCAGTGGCYGGCCACCAAAAGTTKTCATAAGAACCAAACTTGTGCTGCAGAATGCGRCCAGGTTGAAACGGTCCCCCACCTCTTTGTGCGATGTCCAAGGGTACAGGTGTTCTGGGAGTGGTGGGCGAAGGAAATTGCAGACAAGACACCACTCTAGGTCGACGAAACGACCGATGCAGAGATCTTACTGGGTACCCTGATCAAAGCTAACAGGCAGGGTATGGGAGAGATGGTGGTGGAAGAGATTGTAAGGGCAGCTGTGTTATGGGCCCTATGGACGAGGAACGAAAGATGTAGGCAAGGAGCGTCTCAGTCACTGCGGGCCTTTCAGGAGAGAGCGTTGGAGAATATTCGCATTGCTATATTGGCGGACCTGCACCGAAGTAGACCATAGGGGAAGCAAAGGAGGCAGGCTTTTAGCAGAGATGGGCCCCATTCCCGCAGATGTTGACGCAGGACCCTAGCACAGGGCAGCTGCAGTTTGGACCGATCTTGCAACACTATGTGCCTGGACCAGAGAAAGAGGATACAAGCAGCAGTCAGTCAGTAGAATAGAATGGCTTTAAGTAGGTAGGAAGTAGGGGGGATGGGAGGATACGGGGGTGGAAGGAGTTAGGAAGCCGGTAGAAGGCAAAGTAGGGAGGGAGAAGAGGGTTAAGAGCGGATGGAAAAAGGGAGGAGGGGGAGCCAAAAATGGGGAAAAAAGGAAAACAAAGAGTGAAGGATACGGGGTTAACCTGGATTGATGAACATATTGCTGGGGACAAGACCAGAGGGCGGTGTAAATAGAATGAGGGTGAAATGAGAGGTTTGAAAAGCCTGGATTAGAAGTGGGGGAAGGGCAAGAGGAGAGAGGTGATAGCAAAGACGAAGGAGACAGGAGTAAGAATTAGAGGTGACTTAAGCATACAATAGGCGGCCAGGTATAAGGAAGTAACTAGATTAAAAGAGTGTAGTAGTTATAAAAAAGAAGGGTTTGAACAGAGGGTGTGACCGATAGGATGGATAAAGGAGATTGGTGTAAAAATTAGACGAGATTTAAGGACTCAATAGGAAGCCGGGAACGGGAAGGATCTAGACTAAAAGAGTGTTAGTAGGTAGAAAAAAGATGGTTGAACAGAGGGGGGGACTGACAGGATGTGAGGCCCGTGAGACTGCTAGAACGCCCCCCCCGGACCAGGCCTTCCCTGGGGACCCTTCTATTGTGTGGCTGGGTGCTGCTAGGAAGCCTCCCGACCAACAGAGGTATCCCTGGGAGGCTATGGTATGGGAAGAGGGTTCGGTTGTAGCAATCCCCCCCCTGTTAGGCGCCTAGGGCCACAAGGGTAAGGCTTTCCTCTTTTCCTACAAATAATTTGTACTTTGAAACTCATGCTTGCCGGTGATAAGCAACCGGACTGATGCCCCCCAGAATAGAAGGGGCGGAGTTGTTGTTTTAAAAAAAAAAAAAAAAAGAAAGAATTTTGGTGTAACCCTAAGGCAAAAGTTGTTCAGGTCATTATTTTGCATAATGTAGTCGTTTTTTTTTTTGTTTTTTTTCAGAATTTTTGGCCCTTGCTTGGCTGAGCCTGCCTGGGCAGCCAAGGTGGCCCCAGTGGCCCGGTTGGTGGTAGCCCAGTGGGTCACCAGAAATTGGAATTAAAACTTGCCAAAGTTGGGGTACTCAGAATTCTGCACACGTCTCTGGTTAGCCTCTTGGCTCTGGCAGGCCGGCCCTGTGATTTTGCTCCGTGTATGCTGTTGAGCATTTCTGAATAGCGGGGCCCAAGACTGGTGTCCGAGGCTTCAAGGCCTCACCAGTGCCCACAACACCCCAGGCGAAATCTGGATGGTGAAAAATGCCGCGGGGCCCCTCTTTCACGAGCTCTTTTCGCCCCTGGCCCCACACTATACAGTTGAGGAAGCAGGGTGGGGTGGTTGAGGGTGGAGACAGGCCTTGGATGCCAGCTTCTGAAAGGGCCCAGACTTGAGGGCTGTGTGACCAGCCCCTGGCCAAATGCGTGGGAGTGCAACGTGGCTGAGAGCCTATCGGTCAATGGGAGAGCAGCAAACAGCAGCGACTATGTCACACAGTTGGGCTGCTCTAACCAATTCGGCCTCATGGCACTATCTGCACAGGCCCTGGGCTCAGATACTGGGAAGGGGCGCGAGCATACAGGGAACCCACAGGCGTGCTCCCAGAGGATGGGATCAGCGATCACATTCCATAAAGGAAAGTGTCGGCCTCCAGTCCAGCTACTTTTTGGCTGGAGGCCGCAGCAGCAGCGCTGCCATTTTGGACGCTGGGCAAGGCAGGGCACTGGCTGGAAGGAGCGCACAGGGGTGCTGGGCACAAGGCTGCTGGGCGCAGCTAGGAGAGCGGCACCATAGCTGGGCTGCTTGCTGGGGCTGCTCGCTCTGGATGCCGGTAGGGTTGAAGGTGGTCCTTGGGCATGGTGGTAAGCCTTTGATGAGACAGACAGGGAGTG